TTGAAAAAAAACCTTTTGTACTACTTTTAGAGCTAAAATGCCTGAAAGATTTTTTTAAAAATTTTCAATAATTTTGTTTATCTGATTACTGTGAAGGGATTTGACCAAAACAAGATTTTTATAGTTTGCTAATGATAATGATTTCACACGCTTTACATAAAAATTAAAAACCTTGACTTAAAATTCCGTCATATAGATACTGTAAATGTTATGATAGTGATTCTAGTCAAATCCCTTAATCAACATGTTGTTAACTTTTTTGCAAAATTTTTGACTCAACCTCTGACTAGTTCATGAGAAATACTTGATTTAAGATGTAGTTAAAATTAAATTTTATTTTTCTGACTCTGCATGTTTTTGAGTATATTTAAAGATTTGATTAAATGATTTTTAACACACATGGTTTTTTACAAATATTGCATCAAAATAAATTACATTGACTGCTAAAAATTTTAGGGGCTAATTCTTAGAAAGTACTAGCTATAAACCACATTTGTCTGCTGTTTAAGTATTAAATAAAAGGACCGGAATACTGTAATTTAATATTCAAGCAAAATTTGCAAACAGGCAAATCTAAAAAAAAAAAATTATCTATTTTTAATAGTAATGATTTTGAAAAATTATGAGCTAGGAACTATATAAACCCCTATCCGATAACTCATTATCATGTTTGTATAGGTGTCACAAGCTTCAAAAGATTTATAAGATATAAAACATCAGTAAAAAATATAAATATAAGTAAAATATAATCAGAATAAGTGAAATAATTTAATAAATATTTAAATGTTAAGTTGAAATCAAAAGCATTTGTTAAAAATAAAAATAAAAAATAAATCTAAAGCATTTATTTTACGAAAAAAAAATGAATTAACAACAATCAAAATATAATAAAACTACTAATAAAAAAATAAAATAATAAAAAGAGAGAGAGAGTTAACGAAAATGTGTAGTTTGGCCAACAATAAAAGTTCTAATAACTATTAACATTATTAATAGTTATTAGAACTTTTATTGTTGTTGTTTTGTATCATAATTACATGTTTTAATTACGTTAGTTAGACCAACGTTTTTTTAATAGGAATTACAACGTTGTATTATCGTTGGCTACACCAACGTAATTTCTTAATAGAGTTACGACGGTAAAATAGCTATACTTACTTATACTTACATATTTTTGCATGTTATTACATAAATAATCATTTTTAATTAAAATTCCATATTTTTTGAAGAGGATTTTCGTCTATAATTCGGCAAGTTAAATATTTACAGTAGGCAAAAAAATAGAAGGCACACATTTTTTTTTTTGTTGAAAAAAGTATAAAATGATTTAAAACAGTAGTTAGTTTTTGTTTTTAAAGGAAAAAACTATTAATTATTTGAAAATAGTAGCATTGTATTCAAAAATTGTCAAATATAAGTTTATATGACGTAGAAAAATAAACTGTACTTATATTCATCAAATATTTTCTTGCAAAAAAAATAGAGACAAATAAAAAAAATTTCTAAATTTAGACAAAAAATTACTTTTTAAAATTTAGTAGAGCCCCCTTTTGCCAGAATAACAGCTTGCAGAGATTTGGTTTCTTCTGTAGTTATTTTCTCCCATGCTTCAACTATGGCTGCTTTTAGATTATTTTGTTTTCTGTAAGCTTGATCTCCAATTTTCTGTTCTAGAATGTACCACAAATGCTCAATTGGATTAAGGTCAGGAGACTGGGCGGACCATTCCGTTACATTAGTATCATTCTTTCGAAAAAATTCCTTTGTTGCTATGGCAGAATCTTTTGGATCATTGTCTTGTTGAAAGACGAAGTTATTTCCGAATCTAAATTTACGAGCAGAGGGCTTCAAATTTTGCTTTAAAACGGCTATATACGAATTGGCGTTCATTATTAATTTAATGAAAGTCGATTTGTCAGCTCCTCGTCACACCATTGATCCCCACACCATGACGTTTTCACCGCCATGTTTTACTGTTCCTCTCATGCAACTCAATTTGTATGCCTTGCCTTGTTTTCGCCAAACATTTTGCCGCCCATCTGATAAGATCAGGTTAAGTTTGGATTCATCACTCCAAATTACTTTCTTCCAGTACTCAATAGTCTTGTCAACATACTTTTTTGCAAATAAATATCTTCGTTTCTTATATCATAAAGTCAGATAGGGTTTTTGCAACATGCTCTACCATGAAATCCTTGCTCTCGGATTCTATTTCTTAGTTTTTTCATTTTTCTTTGTCTTTTCATTTTTGTCTGCAATCTTTTGAGCAGCTTCAAATCTTTGACAAAACTGTTGACTTCAAATGACAAAATTGACAAAATTGTTGACTTCAAATGACTTAATTGACAAAATAGTTGACATTATATGACAAAATTGACAAAATTGTTGACTTCAAATGACAAAATTGACAAAATTGTTGACTTCAAATGCTTGACTTATAAGATAATTTTTCTATTAATGGCAGCAGATGTTTCTTTTTACTTCTTCCTGCTAGATCAGTTGTAGTCCCATTCAAATTATACTTTTTTATAATGTTGTCGACTGTTCGAAAAGGGATTCCAGTCTGGTTATTAACTTCTCTGTATGTCTTACCATTATTTATCAAATCCACAACTAAGTTTCTCAGATAAATTGTCCAATATCGTTTTACAATGTGCATGCACTTTGTAAAACGACATTGGACAATTTATAGCAACATGCATGCATTTTGCTATAAAATAATCAATTTTATTCAAATTATCAAAACTCATGGGTTACACATATATTTTATACATTAGATATGTAAATATCTTATGTGATTCATATGTAAATTTAATTTTAGACTTAAACTTACCCGAATTTTTTTTTTTCCACAAAAATTCAAAAAAAAAACTAAATAAAATTTTTGTGCCAATAATTATTTTGCTTTCGATATAACACCTGTGTGCTTTTTATGTTTTTAAAAACAATAATCCTTTGGTAAAATCAAGTACATATAAAAACAAGTACATTTAAAAATCTTCATAACAGTAGTACTCTTTGATGTACATTTGAACATTTTACAGTTTTTTAAAAACATGAGTAAACGGATATGTTTAAAAAGAAAAAACTTTTAAAAAATTGCTTGTGCCGTTTATTTTTTTTTTTTTTTTCTACTGTATGTAATTTATAAATATATATACATTTCTTCTTGAATTATTAAAGTTTTGAATATTTAAATCCTACCAAAACAAAATGAATTTTATTATATTTAAATTTTATTTAAAAATGTTACTATATTGTATCAAATTTTTTGTACACAATGTATTGTGCAGTCAAAGAGAGCCTGGGTTCAAGCCCCTACTTTTACTTAACAAACACGATGTTTTTCTATCAAAAATACAACGTTAGCTAACATTGATAAACGTCGGAATATCTAACGTTATAAAGTTGGAAAATCTGCCGTTATCCATCCTTTCCGTTTCCAACATTAATCCAATGTTATTACAACCTAAATAATAACGTTATTTAACACTTTTCCAGCGTTAACATGCCCAGTGGGGAGTCTTAAAAAGTAGAGATATAACTACATATATTGTCTCAAGAAATTGACCTTTATTGCAATAATTACTATGCTAATAAAGTTCAGTCCATAGCAATCCTCTAGAACCCTATAAATATTATAATCAAATTTTTTTAATTTTTTTATGCAGCCTTGGCAAAGTAGTTTAAGTTCTGGTTTCATAACTGGGGTCCGTGGTCTAAATCTGGCGCATCATTGGTAAGGAAGGAGGCGTGAACATCCTGGTTAAATGTACTTCCGCGATGCTCAATGGTGAGACCGTTAAGACTTCTTTGAAACCTAAATAAATAACTTATCCAACACGGAGCAATAAATTCTAAAAAAGAAAAATTGTTAAAAATATGGAATTTTTTTAAACTACTTTTTTATAAAAACTACCTTAAATTATTTATTCATTGTTACTAGAAATTAGAAAACATGATAATTGTTAAACTAGAGGATTTGTTTACACTATTTATTTAGGCTAGACCCGTAAAAATTTGACCAGACCCGTAAAAATACGAGTCTTTATAAGTTTATTCAACACCGACCTTTTTCCTTATATATATATCATAGCTTTCCGGACCCGTGAAATACGGGTTTTTACCAAATCTAACATTTCTATACTTTACTATTCCACATATTTTTTAGTAAAATTATTCATTCTGAAAAATTACTTTAAGAAAAAAAAAATTTAAGAGCAAAAAAAAGCCCTATATATATATATATATATATATATATATATATATATATATATATATATATATATATATATATATATATATATATATATATATATATATATATATATATATATATATATATATATATATATATATATATATATATATATATATATATATATATATATATATATATATATATATATATATATATATATATGTATATATATATATATATATATATATATATATGTATAAATATATATATATATATATATATATATATACATATATATATATATATGTATATATATATATATATATATATATATATATATATATATATATATATATATATATATATATATATATATATATGTATATACATACATTCTAGTTGTTAAAAAATTTTTTTAAAGTTTTCTTATTTTATAGATATATTTACACGGTTGTTCCATATACTGCCACATAAGCTGAAGACGTTTTCACTTACAGACGTTTGTACGTAAAACGCTATTCAACAAATGATAGAACTATGAAGATTTTAGACCATTAAAAACTATAGACGTGGCTTTGGTTATAAAAAGCTAATCTAATAGTTATAGCAAAAAATTTTAGCGCAGTGACGTCAGTTGGTGGCAAAGAAAAGCTTTATCACGTCAACTTTGTATTTACCTCACATTTTTTTGATTAATTTTAATCATGGTGCATACTAATGCACAAAAAGATATAAAACTGGTACAGATAAGAATTTGTATTTTTTACAATGGTAATAAATAAATAGTTTTAAAGAAATAACACAGTAATTATATATTAAGTATTTATTAGAAGACATCCCATAAAAATTAGAGGTGTACCGGATATTTTTGCCGGATATTATTATTATTTTTTTAAATATTTTAGTTTACATTTGTTAGTTCGTTTTTACAATACAATGACAGTAAATAAAAAATTAATACAAATTATAAAGTAAGCAAATACTACTAACATTTGAAAAACTAGGTATCTGAAAGAAGATCTTATCGTGAAGTAAGATCTTATCGTCAGAACCTTATACTAGTGTAAACAAAATATTAGGTTATAATGTTACTATAAGTACAACAAAATCAAAATAAAATATACATACATATATCACTTTGTAGTATAGATAATAAAGTTCAATAAATATTTCCATAATATAAATACTATTGTCATATTTTGATAATACCGGAGAGAAAAAGATTTTTCAGCTTAACTTTAAAAAGATGCAAAGAAGTAGGTAGATCAAATTTAAAATTAGGGAAATCAGTTTTGTTCCAGAGATTGGGTGCACGATAATCAATGCAAAATTGGTTAAAATTTGTTCGACAAAAAGGCTCATATAGAAGGTTGTTATTTCTTAGATAGTATTTATTGGTAGGTTTCAAGGTAATTAAATCATTAAAAACGGCAGGAGAAAGATTGGTTTTTCATATATATATACAAAGCATAAATATTAAAAATATTAAGTTTGTAAATATTAGGTATTCTCATAAAAAGTTGTTTAAAGTGAGAAAAAAGATCAACAAAATTAATTACACGTATTGCATGTCTCTGACGGCGATAGAGAGATTGTAACTTACTTTTTTCAGTGCTTGCCCAAGCAATCTTTGCATAATTCATATAGCTATGAATGAATGAATAATAAAGTTGGGATAAAACTTTTTTTATTTATATAGATTCTAGCCTTATAAAGAATTTCAATATTTTTTGAAACTTCAGTACCAACCAAGGACTACTATACGGAAGGACGCGCAAAGTCGATTTCCTGACTCCGCTAGCGAAGGCCATTCAATATTTCTCACTTAACTCATAAATAACTAAAATTGGCGTAAACAACGTTTTATAAAATCAAAATTCTGAAATACGATTAAAATAATTTTACGTTATTGTTAATAGCCAAAACAAAACTTATTTTAAAAAGCTTTAAAGATCGGTATAAAAAACCTCTATAAAAAAAATAAAGAACATATTATTGACACAGTTTATTTATAAAGAAATAAACATATAAACATCATATTCTCTAAAGACTTTTAAACAATGTTAAAACTTTTTTTTTTTAAACATAATGAACTTAATATAACTTCGTAAAGAAATAAACAATACAATATTTTTCAAGTAAAAAATCTAAAAAGAAAGATTCACTACTCAGCAAGGCGTGCCTTCTTAATTGATGTCTGATAAAGACATGCATTTTTTGCTGGGTCTTTATCCAAATTCTGAATTCCATACAGAAGAACATTTCCCAAACGCCTAAAAAGACTCTTTGATGATAAACCAAAATCATAATATGTGTCCATTATAGATAGAATGTTTATAAGTCTTTTTCTACAACATGCTCTGTGCTTTGTTTTTTTCACAAAGCATAAACCAAATCTAACTAGCTGATAAGTACACTCATGTGGAACTGTCAAATAGCTCCTTGAAACTTCTTCAATAAAGTCTTTAGCTTCATTTGTTAGTTCAGGTTCATCATCTGGATAAACCAGTTCATCTTCACATTTTTTCTCAAGCCATCCTGCTACATAGGCAGCAGAGCTTTCTTCAGTTTCAGAAAGACTCACATCACAAATGCATGTTTCAATTGAGGTTGCATCTTCAATACTAATTGGACCCTCACATATGTGACCTTTTTTGTTAGGTTGTCCTACTTCCACTGATTCTAAAAATGATGCAGCAAATCTAGCTAAACGCTTTTTAAAAGCAGAGAAAACATCACCAGCTGCCATAAAAGCATTTGCCCCTGTTGATTGTCTATAAACAGAAAATTCTCCTTCTATTCTATCACTTTGTAGCTCACGAAGCAAAACATAATCAAAACTAACTGAAAACAAATGTTTGCAGAGAGCTATCAATCCTTCAGTAGTTTGTACAAGGGCTTTTTTGGTATCATGGGTAACGCACTGAACTCGTTGAGGCCCATGTCCTGATTCCATACATTTAAATATGTCTAAAAACAATTGAAGATTATTTGAATTTTTATCTTGCACAGATCAGTTGTGATCTCTCAACCTAACATCCTGCCCTTTTGCAGAAACATTAACAATATTCCACCAATCTAAAATCTGCTGGATAAAAGAGGATTTTTCATAAGCTCCTTTTAGTTTAAGGGAAGCTACTACTTTCTTATTAAACACTCTTAAAACATGCTGCACATTCTGTAGTTGAAGTCTCGAATGATAGACAGCAGCATAGGATAAAGGAATTGTTTTTAAAATGTTCTCTTTCTCGTATTGATATAAACTTTTCACATCTGAAAATGAAGCTATGGTTTTATTATCAAGAGATAGCTTTTGACACTTTTCAGAAATCCAGTTATTACAAATACATTTAAATAGATGAACTATGTCAAATAAAAGAAACCAAACACCGATTGTCTAATGGATGAATGGCCTGATAGTCAGTTATTCTGTTAAAAATTTTGCAGTATTGCTGATTGATTTTATGATTATCAGTTACAGATGCTAAAACTATTGCACCATGTTTTTCAACTATAATAACAGCTTCTTTCACAACAATGAACTGATACAATGATGTTAGTTTGTGAACAGGGGTAACAGAAATCATTAAACTAGGTCCACTATGTAAACATTTCATCATGACACATAGCATAGAGGTTGCTTTAGATTCTGGATCATTTCTTGCCATCCCATTTAAAACTCCACATGAATAAGCAACTGTTGGCCTAATTTTTACCTCGTCAACTATCAAAATAACATTTTTCTGTTGATTATTCTTTACGTTTTCAAATTTTTTTTGTAAAACATGGTCAATGTTAGTGGCAGAAATTATAGACTGAAGCTTTTGTTTACTTGGAAGGACTAAAAAATCACGAAGTTGATCGTAGTTGCAGTTATAAAAAGACTCGATTGCAAAGCAATAATCAGCTATAGAGAAACTTTTTTTAGACAAGAGTTTGAGTTGTCTTGTAATAAAGTTTAATTTTTTTTGTTTCTTATCATCATTTAATTCAAATTCATTTTCTGAAAGAGTATTTATCATCTTTTCAATAACATCATTAACATGCAGATTATAATTATGAACTAAATTGATTGCTTCAAAAAATTGTGAATAGAAGATTAAGCCATTGTTTGGATTCAATATATTAGCTAATGGAACGGAAATTCCATGTTTAAAAGCTGAAAAGGTTAGCGGTGAACACAAGGTACACTTATCATAAACAATAATCATCACAAAACTCTCTTTGAAATCTTTTGACATAAAAATGCATATGAATTTATCGTCTTGTCGAGATATTACTATATTTTTATACTTTTTGTGCAACTCATTGTCAGGATAAAAATTAGAAAACGAATTTATTCTATCTTTTTTGATGAAATAATTCAATTGCATGTCCTCAGGTTTAGATTGGCGAGACACAGGCTTTGGCGTTGGTAAACAAGAAAAAGGAACATTAAAAATACAAGGTGCACATGCTGGTCGAGTATAGCCACCAGGCAGCTTAATTATTTCTGTATTTTCAGGCCAATGTTTTTCACATATAAAAAATTTAGATGGCTCAATAATAAAATTTTTACGTAAAGGAAGAACATTAATCCATTTCTGTTTCTCAATTTCATCTTTCGGTAATTTAAAAATACGACACTTATTAAGTTTATTATAACTCCCTTTACAATTTACAAGGCCACATTTGTTCACCATGATTATTGTTAAAATTTAAAAAAAATGTTACAGGAAAGTTAAAGATCACTTTAACTTTGATAAAAATAATGGCCTTCGCTAGCGGAGTCAGGAAATCGACTTGGCGCGTCCTTCCGTATAGTAGTCCTTGGTACCAACATAATCAATATGTTGCTTCCATGTGATATTCTCATAAATTTCTAATAATTCCAAGTTTTATAAATAAGTCTTTAAAATGGTTTGTTTTTCAATTATATGCATAAATTCGATAGATCAGTAGATTAATGCTATGTCATCGTATTGCGGGGGTTCAAATCTTTATATATATATATATATATATATATATATATATATATATATATATATATATATATATATATATATATATATATATATATATATATATAGCAAAAAAATAAATTTAGCAAAATAGCAATTGTTAAATAAACAATGCAATTGTTAAAGTAAAGTTTAAAGTTTTTTAGAACTTTTAGCTTTTTTGAAAATCTTTTCGTTTGTTATAGTGTATAATATTTTAACATATCGTTCCCTCAGTATTATCTGTCTAATAAAATAAATACAAAAAAAAAAATTATATATAAATAAATACAATGTTTTATGTAATGTAATATAATATATTATATCAGGTAGAACATTGCATTTATTTTTATATATATTTTATATATTAGATGAAACATTTTATTTATTACATTTGTAGATAGAACAAGATAATAATGAGGCAACGATATGTATATAATATCTATAAACTTTAAAAGTGTTTTATTTTGTAAAAAATTAAAGAGAAAAAAAAAATTATGTTTATTTACTCGACTAGTTTATAATCATTTACTCGACTAGGTTATTTGTTTACAAGTCGGGAAGGAAACATCGTAATAGAAAAGCTGATCGAGACGAGTTCCCTTCGTACCAAAGTACTACTCATATGCTGAGTAGGCGGACCCGGGATTTGAACGTGCAATCCTGCTGCTACGGCATATAATTATTCCGATGTTGGAATGCAAGAAGCCAATTTCGACTTGAACTTTATTTTGTAACCAATAGCGGCAGAGTATTTTTTGAGGGGAAAACCCATACTCTGTCGCTATTGGTTATAATGTAAAGTCCAAGTTGAGCTTGA